TAAGTGAAAGAAGCCAATCCGAAAAGGCTAAATACATGATCCCAACTATGTGACATTCTTGAAAAGGCAAAACTATGAAGACCATAAAATGATTAGTGGTTCCTGAAGGAGGATGAGCCAGTAATGAACTGACAGAGCACAGGGGACTTTTAGGGCGGTGAGAATACTTTGTTTGATATTACAGTGATGGCTATAAGTTATTATACATAACCCATAGAATGTTTAACTCCTAGAATGAACCCTAATGTGAACTATGGACTTTGGGTGATTATGACATGTTAATGTGGGTTTATCCTTAGTAAAAAAAAATACCACTCTGGTGAGTGATATGATATATTTTGATAATGGGGGAGACTATGCATATGTGTGAACAGGGAATATTGGGGAAATCTCTGTACCTTTCAATTTTGTTCTTAAAATCTTAGAAAAATTTTTAATAAATTAAGAAAAAATAACCACAGGTGGGATGAGAGGGAGGGAGGAATTCACAATGGATTCTGCTCCTAGAAACTCGTATGACTAAGTCATCCCTAAAGCACTCGCTATATGAGTGGCACTGTCCTAGGCACCATAGGGTTCCAAAGGGTTGTCTTCAGAGCTTAAAATCTTGTTGTACAGACAAAACAAAAACAAGTGAAAAGCTAAGTAAAAATAAAGGATGCAAGTAACCTCTAAAACTATGACTTAAGTAAATGGCATTAAATGAGAATCATTCACAAAAAAATTAAAACACTGACTCTTCTCAAGTCTAATAACTTGTTGAACCTAATAATGCTACATCAGAAATATTTTAAAAACCACTCTCTGGCCCCCACCCAACTCCTAAGGAGGTGGCAAGTGTAATGTGATGATCAAACGCATGTGCTCTTGAACAAAGCTGACACTCTAACCTGCTGTCTGGGTGATCTTGAGCAAGTTACCCAACTTCTCTGTGCCTTGAAAACCTTAGCTGCTAAATAGGAAATAATATACCTACCCAAAGAGTTGTGAGGATTCAGTGAAAGGCACTTTAAACAGTGCCTGGCACTCTGTGTGGACAAAAAAGAAGTGCTTTGATAAATCATAAACTCCCAGCTGGTCAAGTTATGGTGTGTAGTCATGCCCCAGGCACAAACTTCTTTAATAAAAGGCTTATCTTTACCTGAAGCAAGACCTGTCCTTTGGTTCTGTACATCTAGGTTAATACACCTTTGAAATACCCCCTTTTCCCACTCCTAATACCTGACCACCTTTTTAGACCCCTCCTTCTAAAGATTAAAGCACATAATGTTAACTGTGCTATAATCCCATCCCCTCTTAGCTTTCTCCCACTTTAATGTAATCTTCCTTATGTTCCCTCCTTAATCTCAAATGCCTAAAAAAATCTCTGCAAACTGATATTCTCTGGACCATTTGAGATCTTGCTCCCTGGCATATGTCCTCAGTTTGGCTCAAACTGAGGCCAGATAACCTCTTATAAAATTCTCTACAGGTTCAGATGTTGCTTATCTCTACTTCAGTGAGCCCTCAATACATTTTAGTAGTTATTATTTTCTTCACTCTCTTTTTCTTCTGTCATGAGAATTCAGAGTCAGAGAAATATCTAGAGGGTCTTGGTGCTCCTTCTGTGCTACACCTGCACTGTCATTTTACTCTTGAGCACACTTTTTTAAAAATAATTTTCAGGTACCGTTGTAGAGAAAGAAGAAGGAAAAATATCTCCCTCATAGGTAAAAAAATGAACTAGGGACATAATTTTGTCCTTGAAGATGATAGCCCATGATTTTAAGAAAGAAAAGAGAGATAGAGTGTTCAAGTGTTAGGGTGATATAAGAAAACCAATGGCAGTCATTGAAAACAGCAGTCTATAGGAATATGTCTTTAAGGAAATTAAGCCTGTTGAGAGAAAGGTTCAATTTTTTTGTCATTACTAAAGCACTTGGGCTGACAGAGCAGCTGCCATCTTGAACATAGCTGACCTCTGTGCCAGAGAGAACAGAGTGCTCTGAAGACTCTCCAAACAGCAATTAAACTGCTCTGATTTATTTCATTTTCTTTAACTTGTTTGCCAGAAACATTCACACAGCCTGAACCAACCAAAAGTGGAGTCTGATCATGTGTCAGATTGTGGAGAGATGGAAATATCTGGTGACTAATTCCTCTAGTAAAAGCTGGAGAAGATATAAATATTTATAGACTTTGGGTAGATTAAAGAAAAACAAAAAAACTTTCTAGATTTTTTAGCAACCAAGGCTCTTTGCTAGATCTTAATAATATATTCCCAATGTGGGACACATTGACAGTGGAAATTCTCTGAGTTCAACTGAGGCTCATGAGTACAGCTGACAGGAAATGAGTTTGAACTAGCCTGGAGGTGATTAGGTACTGATTCACAATTTACTGTTTAGCACATTAATTTTTAGGCCAAAGGACTCCCTTGTGCATAAAGGAAAATTATCTTTTTCCTCAGGAAGCCCACGGACCTCTGCTGGTTATGGCAACTATATATCCTGAATTTTTCTGTGACAACGCTGATTTTAAATTTTCAAGCCATTTTCCTCCTAAAGGCATTTATATCTGTCAGACTACAGGTCCTAAACTTTAGTCAGAAATGTGGTCTGTCTTCCAGAGATCTAGAGGACAGTCAGTTGGTTTAGAACCTAGAGGTCAGGGAAGAGCCCACGGCCTCTATGAATTGATAAATGAGCTTCTGACCCCAGCCTCCAACTCTAAACACAGTGGCAATGTACATAAATGTAAAATATCCAGAAATTCCACTTATAATAACTCTGAGTCATTTATATAGCCTTTCTGAAGATGTTCTCTAAACACTCTTCCTTTCTTAATCAGCTACTTAGTCTAATTGTCTCTTTTAATCAATGGAGCTCCATCCTCTATACATTGATTCACTCTTGTCCATAGTACAGTTATAATTTTTACAGTGTCATACTGGAGTTGTTCTTTATGGTACTGTTTTCCCAGACTGAAAACTCCTTCAAGATATGGCCTGGAAAAACAAATGAGAAAGAACTAATGACTAAAACTTTAAAAGTATTATTAAAATATTCTTTACAAATCTACATGGTAAATATTAGGAACTCAAAAATTCTTGACTGATTTTGTGCTTTACCTATTCTTTCCTGATTTCCTATTTTCTACTTACATATTAACGTGATTGTTGAAAAGAACACAAACTGATAAAATGAAAAACTCTGCAAGAAAAGCTGTTTTTATAGGGAGGTTCTGTCCATGCCATACAATACTGGGCTTTTTGCTGGTAGTCTTTTGCGACAGTGATAGGCCATTTGCCCAAATCCAGCCATCTCTAACCTGCTCCCCCTTGTGGTCAGTGTGAGACATTTTTAAGGTGGCTGGTTTGGGTTTTCTTCCCTTTGTGGTTTCGAATCTTTTAGCACCATGTTCTGCCTAGAGATAACAGTTTTTCACAGGTAAAAACAAAACTCAAAACCAGAATTTTACATAGTAGACTTAATCTAATGTGAATGTAGAAAGACCTAGGGAGTCCGTTTTTCTCTGACTCTTCCTTTCCTGACCAGCTAGCTCCTTTACCTTCTTCAAGAACCAGCTCAGGGTCCAGCTCATCCAGTAAGTAAGTTTTTCCTGATTTCTAGCTCTCTGGGTTTTGGGCTTCACCTGTGTCCTCCTCTATCAAGATGCCTATCACTGTGTGTATCTGCTTACCAGGTAGTCCTCCCCACTGGAGTGCAAACAACCTGGGGGTGGGGACAAGGACTGTGTCTTGCATCTCTTTATTCCAAAACTTTAGTGCCGAGTACAGAATAGATGTTCACTAAATGTTTGTTGAAACAGAGAGGTGGTTCTTTCTACTAAAACTTTACCCATAATGCCTTAGGTCTCAATTTTCTCATTTATACACTTAGAGATTTTGGAGTTGAAATCCCTAAGAGTCTGTGAGTCTGGCATTAGTTTTCTCATCAAAATATTTTATAAGGATTGCCCCCCTTTTGGCTTTCAAGTCCTTCTTTGGGGGTTCCTCTGAATACCTTTTTGGTTCTACAGGGTTGAATGCTGCATGTGATGGTGTGTTAATATTGGAGGTAGGAATGGAAAATAGCCTTGTAATTACTAGTAAAGATGGAACTGAAGAGATCTTTATGGTATAAGTAACTGTATAAATAACTCTTTTTTTTTTTTTAAAGAAAAACATCTATTCTATGAAGAGGTCAGAAGAGTTCATATTTATATATTTTACAATTTGAAGACATGCCAGCTCATGGAAAGTTCTAGAATATTTCTTCCCGTTGGCCTAAAGCTTGTTTCAGTCAATTTTCTCAACATACTAAATTTTCACAACATTTAACTCAAGGACCACAAAGCATAAGTAAGTAAATACAGGCATATGTCATTTTATTGTGCTTTGTTTTATTGCGCTTCACAGAAATCGTGTTTCTCACAAAATGAAAACAAGACTTTCCACCAGCAAAAAGATTATGACTCACTGAAGGCTCAGAAGGTGATTAGCATTTTTAATTAAGGTATATACATTGTTTTTTAAAACATAGTGCTATTGCACACTTAATAGACTATAGTGTAATGTAAATATAACTTTTATATCTGCTGGGAAACCAAAAAATCTGTCTCACTTTATTGCAGTGGCCTGGAACCAAAACCATAATGTCTGAGAGGTCAGCCTATATTTGGTTTATGTTCAAGACATTTGAGGATAATGAAAATGTGAAGAAAAGGTTATTAAGCTTCCTTTACCAAGTTTTAAATTTTATATTGATTCAATAGATCAACAATGAAAAATGGATATGATTGTGAATCTAAGAACAGTAACCATTAATACAAATTCTGTCATGAAATAAAACTGTGTGCAAAGTGTCTGAGATCTAGAAGACACCAGAAAGTGTCTAACATGAGTTTGGCAGTGAGACCAAATGAGAATTCGTTGTCTCATCCTGTCTCTGTTTGGGTTTTGTGGGAATCTACTTATGTCAGCGGCAGAGAGTGAGTGGTGTGCTCAGCAGGACTGAACACTGGAACCTGTGTTCTGCTGAAGGCGGGGGAAGCATTCAGAGGTGGCAGCGTCTGCAGAGAGAGCTCTTTCAGAACTGAGGTAAGCATTTTTTTTCAACTTAAACTGAATTTGAAAGCCTATGGATACAAGTGGATATTTTTAATGAACTAATTTAAGACAGAAGAACTGATTAAAAGTAAATCAATCTTCAACACACCAGAGAATAGAATTTTGAGTAAGGGAAAGAAAACAAAACTTTTTTAGATAAGAAGAGCTTTGTTGTTAAGTGGGGGGTTTTATTTATTTATTTATTTTAGAAAAGCCTCATGCTGGCTTGTAAAGATAGGCTGCTAGATTATAAAGAACTGCAGCTTGAAATGTAAAGTGGTCCGATAATGAGGCCTGTATTTACCTTTACCCCAGCCTTTCCAGGAATGCAGGTGCAGCTCAATCTGTGTGGACAAGATTACATTTGCTGTCAGTGACTAGCTGGGGAAGGGTAGACTCATTAAGATCATAGGGGCCTTGTCTTCTGAGGGGATTTTATTTTTTTCTAGCTAAAAATATCTACAAAAAAACTTACCAAATATTTAACAATATTTTCTATTTATCCTTGGGAATGTCTAATAAATTGAATTACTGACATTTTAGAGTTCTAATAAATAATAAAAAGTTATTAACTTTGTGAAAACAATGATCTATTTCTTTTTAGCAATGTGCATGTATTTCTATTTTTTTGTCTGCTCCTAGAAAAATAATCGTATATTCATATATCAAAACCATTGGTATTTTTGTAAAACTTCTTGATTTGACAGAACGTGGTACATAAGAGACGCTCAATAAATATCTATTCACTGACTGTTGGTTAACAGATATCAATTTCAGGAATATAGTGAAAATTCCACTTGGGCTATAATAAGCTTACATAATTTATTTTAATCACAGTAAAAATTTTACATAAAGTTTTTATTTTTCTCTCTTCATTTGGATTTCCTGACCTCTGAAAAGAGACAAGTAATTTTAAGCCATCAAAAAAATTTGCCTCTGAAACAGTGTGATATGTGAGATTTGCTTCAAAACATTGAGCAGGGGCAGGTCTTGGGAGGTATGGAGATCAACAAGACTTGCCGTGAATTGCCAACTGGTGAAGCTGAGAGATGAGTACATTGGGGAACATTATGCTATTCTCTCTACTTTTGTATATATCTGAAAATTTTCAATATATAAAGCTAAAAAAATTGGCAAGGTTCAGATAGCTATCTGTGTGATATAGTTTCTATGTTTCTCCCAAGTGTTTCTTTTTTTACTTCTGGGCACCTTTCTTCAAAGCCAGATGAGGATGGGAGAAGCATCTCTCAGATCCAACAATGTGGTAGTGATGTTTATCTCCCTAGACCTTGGCAGCCACTTGAAGGGTTTCTGAGAAGAAACTAAGGCTTCTAGAAAAGTTACGGTTGAGCAGCTTACCTTAGTTCCCTTCACCTTCTTTTCTGGATTGGAGGGAAATGACTTTTAGATCCAGCAATCCATGTAACTGGGGCAGGGGCAGTGGTTCTCCACGGAGAAAGGGCTGCAAGGATCTGTTCTCCTATTGCCTCAAGGTACACTTTGAACAACTCAAATTGGCTATTGCTGCTTGGGCTCAGTTTTCACTAATTATTTTGGTAATCACGTTGGCAACTTTCCTTTTCCTTACTCTTTGAAAAAAAGCAAACACATCTAACTGTTTATACAGCTACTAGAAGAAAGACAAGACCTTTGGCAACAGAGCTAGTGTGCCCTGTTGGTGTAAAGTGCCACTTTCCTGACCATCTAACTTGTGAGCCTTTTTTGATCGTGCTCACTTTACTGGTAATGTGTTTAAAGAAAGAAGAGAAGATATTCAAAGGTTGTTTTTGCTTTTGCCTTGTAAGTACTCTTTCACCCCTCCAGTGCCTTTACTTTGCTTATATAATAATCTAAACTAGCCTTAGTTTAAACCCTTTTCTCTTATTAACAAATGCTCAAATTTACATATTATACAATGAAATCCAATATATTTCTAAGAAGTCCACCCTAAGCAGTATGGGAGGAACCTATAATAATGCAAATAATAATCCTATAATAACTATCCTATTAATAATAATCCTATAATAATGCAAAAATTGGCTGTGTCAGATTGAAATGATTAACTATTGGTTAACAGAATCAAATAATTTTAAAGCCAGAAAGACAAAAACACCCCCTAGAGATCATTCTGGCTAAACTTTTTACTTTATACAGTAAGGTTACTGAGGCCCCACAGAACATTGCTTTGGCTCTCTCTGAAGAGCAGTTTCACAAGGTTTGACAAGAAGATAAACTGAGGATGTGCATAATTCAAAAGTTAATTACTTATAGAAGCTACAGAAAAATGAAGTCAATATCCTCAGTTTTGATCCATACAAGACACATACCAAGGGGCCTTAAGCTTAAGAGTTATCTCGGAGACAATGTGATGTTTCTTGTACAGAAAAAATAGAGAAAAGTCAGCCACAAAAGAATCCAGTTCAAGAATTCAGTCAATGTTCATTTGAGAAACCAAAATATCCTTCTTATATTCAAAGAAAATAATTACTGTTAAAGTCCATTTTGTAGAAGTCTGCTTTTAATAATACTTTCTTTAGAAAAGAGACACAAAAAATTTGAAAAAATAGATTCAGCCTTAAGTCAAATATTCTCTATGAACCATACAGATAAGATAGAAATGGAGGAGGGGGGAAGGTTTTTTTAAAAGATCCTGTAAATGGAGAATATATTACCAAGTGAAATTCATTCAATGTTTTAGTTCTATTGAAAGAATAAACTATTTATAAGGATCAACTTTCTTCTTCTTATGAACTGTATATTATTTACAGCTTTTTAAAGCTACAGAAGGGACATAGAAAAAGGCAATTTAAGACCGTTAACATTAACTGATCTTTTTTTAAAACTTCAACTTATTCCAACCACTGTTGCCACACACAGACCCCTTTCCACTCTGACCGAGAGAGAGACCACTTTGAACAAGAGTGGCTTTAAACACTAGTTTTCTGGTTTGGGAGAGTGAGGAAAGAAAGAGAAAAAAAAGTAAGAAGGACAGAAGAAAGAAATTCTTTCTAACAGCCCTTTAAAAGTAAGATTCTCAGAAGTATTTAGCTCTTGTAAACTTTGGCTCATGTGTTTGCCAAGTACTAAGAAAAAGAATAAGGAAGACTATAAAGATGAAAAGAAGAAAGGCAACTGAGATAAGTCGGGGAAAGAGACAATGCCTGCATGTAAACATGGGGTAGGGAAGCAGGTCATAAATGTCCGGATGCTGGAGCTGTGAAGCACCTGACCTTCAGTTCATCTGTGGAAGATATAAAATAAATAATATCCTATACTTATTGCTTCAATTCCAGTTGACTCAAGTGCATGAACTCTGAGTACTGGGGCATCTATTTTTCTAGTTGCTGATGAGAAATTTTGAACTGACTAATTTCACCATGTATAAACCTGATTATTATCTATCAGAGGGATATTCTGAGAAAATTAGATAGTTCGTGGAACTTCTAAACTAGCCACATACTGTGGACTTCATTTTAAGAGCCTTGGAGCACGCTATAAACCAATGATTGTCGAAACGTTTTTTGCACATGATCCGATGTGAAATATACATTTTATATCACAACTACATGTACACATATGTAAATCAAAATTAAAAGTTTCATGAAAAAATACCTTTTGTTATTAAGTATGAAAAGGAGATGTGGAAGAGCTTTGGGTGGCAAGTGGCATGTACTCCCTTGACTTCTACTGACAATGACCTCCTTGAATGAAGAAGGATTTCATTTCAGGGTGGAGACGCTATTTCACTCTAATCATTTCCTCCCATTGATTTTACCTCCCCACCTAAAGAATTGAAACTCAGAGTGGGAAACAAACATGAACAAATCAGGTACTGGTTGCATTTGAGAATAATGTAAGATTCGAGTATATTTGATTTGAAGCCAACAGGTTTTGTAGGATTCAGAAGTTACCAAATTTAATTTATTTACTATAAGGTAAAATTTCAAAAATTTTGGAATAAACATTTTTTTCGGGAGAGCTCTTTTAAATATTATACATTTTGCAAGAAAAAGAGTGATTTCTTAGTTCTAGGAGGTCCAAGTATGAAATTGGGGCATGAAATACAAAAGAAAATAGTTGAAGTGGACAACTGTGGGAAGGACTTGCCAATATTCTGGAGGTAGTAAAGAGTCTTGAAAATTGCAAAACACTCACTATGACATTGCACTCTTACTATTGAATTTACTTTTCCAAAGGACAATGAACCCTTCTGAGAATTCCTCAATTGAGAGATCATAAAATGTTATTCTGTCATTTATTAAAAGTATATTTATTGAATATCTACAATATATCCAGAAATCCCCAAACAAGCTAATATATAAAAAATCTGTCCTCAGCATGACTACAGTTCATTAAGGAGATAGAAAGTCAGCTAAGCACTAACACAAAGCAGACAGTCTTCCCCAACAAGCAGTGAGATCCCTCTCTGCACTGTCTCCCCACAGGGAACTCAGTTTCTCCAGTGGCAGGCTATTTATATATTTCTATAAAGATCTATTTTTTTAATTTCCATATTGAACAGCTCTAGTTGTTAGGAAGTACTTAATATTAAATTGTTTTTTTAGTGACATCCATCAGCAATCTGATTTCTGTCCTCAGTAGTCACATAGTTTAATAAGAAACAAATCTGGAGTAAACTCGGCTTTACTGGATTGACATCAAGAAAGGATACACATTCCTAAGACACTAGGAAAATCTGAGCAGGGCCCATTCACTGGCATCTCAGTGCAAAGGAGTTACCTCCCGGACTGAATCCTAAAATAGAATCAAAACCACAGACTATTTTAGTTGACAGAGACCCTGCTAAGACTCTTCAGCTAACCTCTGTAGTTCTCAAATAGGAAAATGAGTTTGCAACCTAATCAACTGGAATATTTTCTAGGAAACATGATTCTGACTTCATTAAGGACGTCAGTGGGAAAATAGAGTTCACTTTTCAGAAGTTTAGTTAAGACAACTTTGCTGAACAGATTTCCCCCCCTGAGGCTGAC